TCACAGAAGATGATCTTGAAGGAAGTCGACCCCTTGAACGTGGTGACATAAGCTTCTTCTCATTATGGTTGATGATGTCAGCATTATCAGATGCTTCCTTTTCAACATTTATGGAGCAGTATGCACCTATGATGGGTTATGAGATCTCTTACGACAAGTACTATGAGTTCAAACTGGATATTGACCAAGTTCTCAAGGACAATGAACACCTTGGCGCAGAAAATTTCTTTGGAGCAGAGGATCCTCAGATGGTGGACGATGATCCAGACACTCCACTTCCAGATCTTCAAAGACCAGGCGCAGGTGATCCTGAGTACAAGCATACCATTGAAAGTTTGAACATTGAGGACAAACATATCATTTTGGAAACTGATGATGACAAATTGGTTGAGTGTACATTGAAATGGATCAGTATGTGCAATCAGAATGTTCAACGAAAGATCAAGGAAAGTTTTGTCAAACCAGAAGAAGGACAAGAGAAAGAAAAGGATGAAGAAGAGGAGATTGCTGTCGAAGAAAAGAAGAAGAAAAAGACACACAGGAGCCACATGTCCCAGCTGAAGGCTCTTCAGAGAAAGAGGAATCAGCTCCACCTGAACGCTCCTCAGAAAAGGAGGAATCAGGGGAGAAGAAGACAGACATTCAAGATGATGAGACAGCTCCTGAAGTGAAACCTGCAGTTCGACTTTACTATGGTCAAGATATCACTGGAAACGAAGATGATTCAGTTTTTCGAAAATTGAAGGATTGTTTTTCAGATGGTTACCATGGTGAATGGGCAGGATTTTACAACAAAGGTTATCCAGCGTCTTCGAAGCATCGACATATGTTTTGGCATGTTAAGTACAAGAAGACCATGTCTCCACATCATGATTTTTGGTACCATCTTACAGATGACCAGTTGATGGTTGAGTACATTGCCAGACACAAGAATCAGGATCCACAACTAGAATTACAAGAACTTAATCAGCGCATTGAATATGGTTGTAGTGATCCAAGGATGCATCCTCTTCATCAAGACAAAGCAGAAAGATCCTCAAAAGAAGCAGAACAGAGGATTGATGACGATTTTGGAAATCTCACAAAGGTACTCCAAGATTACGTTGAGGAACACAAGGTCTTGCCTTACTGTATGATCTTGCATAGCTTGGCTTACAGGTACTTAGGTGGAGGCCTATCAGACCCAACGTACAAGGATGCTGAATTTCCATACAGATCCTCTCCACAGATAACAGCAATGTTTTGGAATTTGGGAAACTGGTGCAGAAACAGATTTGAAAAATGCCCGGTTCCAGAAAGATTTCAACAATTCATTCCACACATTGACTACACTATCGATGAGGATCATGAAAAATTTGATGAAACCAAATCACAGTTCAACAATTACTTCATCAATGTCATCAAGAACTTTGGAGGACATCTTTTCATGAATTGCGAGGCTGGTTCGTTGTATCCTCACAGAGAAAGACTCGACGAGGTTGACTTTAAAACTTGCTTCAATGACTATCATGACTTGATGGTGGCAGCTCGCCTTGGAAAGGATGGCTATATCAAGCAAATTGCTGGATATCACACAGATGACAACGACACACGAGTTCGACAAGTCTCATGGGCAATCTTTGAAGTATCTTGGGGAAAGACAAAGGATCGAGATACAGATGAGATTGTTGACTTGACAAGAGCTAGGATGAGAATGACACGTGTGTGCGTTTATCACGTCGGACAGAAGTATGCATCAGACTCTGCTGGGATTGTTGGTGAAAGCTTAGCTGTTATGGCTTTTGAGTGTGCCAGATATCAAATTGACTTCATCGCAGGTGATGGAAACAAGGCATGCTATTACAGCACACCAAAATCTCCAGGTGTCCCTACATATCAACACAGCCTTATCCAATTCTGGATTAACAGAATGGTAGGTGTTGCAACACAAGCCATGCGCAAGAATTTTGATCCAACTTGCCCTCCAATCAGGGTCAAGCATTTCATTTCTTGCAGTTATCGTGACTTGGATTTTCTTGCAACGCACTTGGATGGCATTACAACAGCAACATACACCGACGAGCTCATGAACAAGACAAATGGTAAAGGTGATTGTTGTATGTTAACAGTTGTTGAGTGGGGTCATTCACGTTTGATGTGTGAGGAACACCCAGAAGACTTTGAGGATGAAGATCACATGAACTATGTGGGTGAATTTTACTTCAAGGTAAATGAAACTTGCTTACATGGTGATCACAACATCTTCATGGTTGCTCCAAATGATCGCGATGCTCATAATCCAATTCTTATCCATCTTGATCCTTCTGATATGTCATGGAATGAACGACATCATTACAAACAGGCCTACAAGAAGAAGCAGTATGCTGATTCAAGAAAGGAAAGACAGAAGGAGAAAAAGAGAAAGGCATATGAAGATCAAGCATCGACGTATCAGGGCAACACAGAGTGGGGTGGATCCTCATCTTCAGCGTCCAGACCATGGAGATCAAGTGAGTGGCGATGAGTGAGTGTACACTTCTTTAATTGAAGATAACACAGCATGAGAAGCCGTGTACAGTTTTTCTGTGCGTTCAACTTATTTCACACAGATGGCATATACTCTTTTAGATAGAGATAATGCCACAAGTGTCTGAACTTCAATTTAATGTAAAATAGAGACTCTTGTAAATAGAGATACTATATACATTTATCTCCATGAATCATCCGGCGAGCAGACCACTCCGAATGGAGCGAACTTCAAAAATTTACCAACTTCGATTTCAGTCCATTGTTTGCTTGAATGAGCAACTTTGGAGATCCGCTATTTCCGTTTATTTCGTGATTTGGTCAATTGTTTTCGTATGACCTGAATTTCTGAATCTTGCGAACCCGAACTTTTCAATTCGAACTTTCACCGGTAGAGCGAGGCATTTTGCCTATGGAGAGACCGTGCGCGAAGCACCATTGGTCGCTACTGGAAAAATTAGCGAATCCGCTGTTCTTTTTCGACATGTCCTTAGGACATTCGCTGCTTTCACGTGTTTTTCAATTCGAAGCCACTGCGTAACTCCGGTTTCTTTTGCTATTTGCCATTGTGTAGAGAAGTCAGGAAGATACTCTTAATACCAATTGGGTACGGCAAGGCGTAGTGCTCTACTCATTGCTTTTGAATTTGTGCCTGTGTTTTTGTTTCGACCTAATACCTACATAGGTACATGCATGAGTATTGAGCACATTTATATGCGCCCTTCAAGGCTCAAGAGGTATATAGAGTAACCCTGTAGACAAGCACGGACCGGCAACAGGCTGAGTAAAACAAGTGCTGTCATTGGGGAAGACGCCTTAGCTGATCTTGAAGTAGACGCTAGGGCCCCTCTTCAGCCCTCCCCCCCAATCCCCCCCTCCCGCTTTTTTTAAAATTATTTAAATTCAAAACTTGCACACTTTTCAATTACTAGTTTGATTCTTTTATATTAATATTTATGTTTATATATATATATCTAGACATATATATACATAGACACACATATATATATATTTATATCTAATGTATGTATGTATGTCTGTCTGTCTGTATGTATGTATGTATATCTTTGCATTTATATATACACTTATAAATATATATATATATATTTATGTACTTATATAAATGTATATATATATAAATACATATGAATATGTATATACATATCAATGTGTATATATTTATATAATTATGTCTCTATCAGTATATATATATATATGTTTATTTAGAAATACACATACATATTTACTTATAGATAGATAGACGTATATATATATATGACATATTTGTGGTTGTTTTTATACACAGCTTTGATCCCAAAATATACTACAAATAATCACGTAATTATACCTACATGTTGTATCCCTAAACCCTAAACCAAACCCTGCATATACATACATGCATACATACATACCTACCTACATACATAGATAGATAGATAGATAGATAGATATATATATATACATATGTATATAGATTGATTGATTGATTGATTGATTGATTGATTGAAAACCATAGAAAACTTCCATCTCCAGACATGCTGTCGCGTCGCATGTATGAGCATCGCGTTATGGAGCAGCTTGCTTGCTGGGACTCGACCCTTTATTCGGTATCTGTTGGGATCTCAAGAGAGTTCTCCAGACGTGTGATCGCCTCGCATGTATGAGCATTGCGTTATGGAGCACCTTGCTGGGACTCTCCCTCTGAGTCGGTATCCCAAGAGTAGTTGTGATTTAATATGCGCTGGTATCTGTTGGGATCTCAAGAGAGTTCTCCAGACGTGTGATCGCCTCGCATGTATGAGCATTGCGTTATGGAGCACCTTAATGGGACTCTTCGTCTGAGTCGGTATCCCAAGAGTAGTTGTGATTTAATATGCATTGGTATCTGTTGTCTGCTGACAGTCGACCTTTTCTTCGACATCTGACCCTCCCTCCCCTGTCTCCAGACACGTACGAGTCACTTGTATTAGCATACCTCGGAATTTTCTTGTTTGATACGGACCACCTGGATATTGCGGACAGATCGGCAATCGACATCTGACCCTCCCTCCCCTGTCTCCAGACACGTACGAGTCTCACTTGTATTAGCATACCTCGGATTTTTTTTTTGATGCAAATTTTATTTTATTTTTGATGCGTGTACCACGTTGAAATCTTGGACAGTTCCATAGAAGTCCAGGGGAATATTTTTTTTTGATGCAAATCAATTTTTATTTTGATACTTATGGGGATATTTTTTTTTTGATGCGTTTTTATTTTTTTTTGATCCTTCACCCCTCTTGCTGTTACTTATGATCTTGTCTGCTTCAGAAGATACACCCAATCCATGGCAAGGTTGGAGATACACTCTGTAGATCTCTTTAGCATTCTTGAGATTTCTTTAGCATTGTTTGAAGTTTGGCTCCTCAAAAAAAAATGAATCTGCAGATATCTGCAGTGTTGGTTGTGTCCTCTGCACACTTTAACTGTGTATTGATGGTGATAACGATTGACAGGAAAAGGCACCGCGAAAGGGAAAAGCACTGCGAAAGGGAAAGATGGGAAAGGCCCTGCAGGACCGCCTTGTTTCACGACGATGTGAATCATCCAAGCCTTCAAGTTGCACTGCAGTCCTGGTCATCGGAGGAGCTGAAACCGAACCCGACACTCAACCTCAAGTAGAGTCTGAGACCGGTTGCTTGGGGAGATCGCATGAAAAACCGCACTATGGCTCGTAAACCATCACGCATTCATTGTTTTTTTTTCCCGACTCTGACATTTTGGTTGACTTCTGAGCTTAGTGGTGCACCATGCTGGCAAGACCAAGGTTCAACAATACCAGACCAGGAGCACACCCTACCCCCTAGCTTGACCAAGTCGGGGACTGAGAAATCACTCCAATACCTGTTGCAGGTAGCTTCACAAAACAAGGACTCAACCCAACTGCAGCCACAGACAGTTGCGCAGATTTCATGTGACACAAGCATCAGCATCAGCTGCGCAGTGTCCCAAACCCAGGTGATCGGTTGATCTTCCAAGCAGGTCGATCTGATCCGTGCAGTCGCCGGGACCTCAAAGGTCTTTGCGACGCGCAGCAAGCTGAGATTTGAAGCGACCCACTGCAAACGATCCCAACAAAACTTGACTTCCAAGATCAATGATGTTGAAATTGACTTGATTGAAGATTTGCTCACCCCCAGGCTGGGGTTCTCAAAGTCCATCGATGGATGTACTTTGGGGGAAGAACAACTTGAATCCCATGTGAAGCAGCAGTTGCTGGACAAAACTGGTATGGCGCAGCCTTTTTGACATGAATATGGCAGACCTAAGTGGCTTGTCATGTTTTTGACAGATGTTTCAAAGAGAGATTTAGCCAGTCAGCAACTGCTGCCAATTTGCCCAGTCAGCATCGGACTGGAAGAGAAGTTCGCCAGAATTCTGCACCGACAGACTGTGGGTAGAGTGGAGGTAGCCTCATTCACCACAAGTAGCTGCTGCATGAATGACTTGTCAGAGGCCTTGCATGCAAGTTTCTCCTTCCTGTGTCAACAGGGACCATGTTCAGAAGAATATCTCCACCCTCCGTAATTTAACGTTTGCACCAATTTTGGGCTGCGTCGCTGCGGCAGCCCCAAGAGCAAGGGCATGAAAGTCACGAATCCAGACACTCACTGCTTGGTCAGAGGAATCTAAATTGTCACGATTGATCTCAATTACCCCGCAAAACAGAAAGATCGACGTCATTGTATTACCTTTTTCAGATTTTTTCAATGCACACAGGCAGCAGCCCTAGTGTTGCAGTGTCTTGATGTCAAACCCGAAACACTCCAGAATGTCCCGAAAATTATTGGATGCCTGCCCTTGCTCAATGTAATGATTTGGATTCCATCCCCGACAGGGAGTTGGACGACTTCCTGTTCAGTGCAACATGGAATGGTTGTTTCAACTGAATCCAAATGAATAGTGACTAATTAGTGACGAATTAATGTTTCAAGATGGGTTGAAAGTATACCAGATACATCCACAAAAGGCATGCAAAAACCATCAGTCAGTCTGTAATGGCCTTTGACCCATGATGCACTTACAACTGTTCCTGAAAGGTGCAGGTCGATGGGGAAGTCGGTTGCAACCGCCTGGATGGTTCTGCTCAAGCTAAGTCCTGCCAGGTTCAGTAGCAACAAGCTGTGGAACTGTTCCATTCGAGATTTCTGGCCGCTGCTGCAAAGGGATTCCAAGAAAAACCAGGCCCCAAAACGAAGTGTTGAAGCTTCGGGGAATCACATTGATCTTCAGATGCTACCAGATAAAGAACTCGGTATAGATATCAGGTTGCATCAGACTTGAAGTTGAATTTGAAGGGATGGCACAGTGAAATGGCTACATCACAAGACTACGAAATCAAGAAACTCATGAAACCAGTTCCTTAATACATCATGGTCTTGCGGGGTTCCAAAACTCCCTTCGCGCAGCTGCCGGAGACACGCAAATTGCGACCGCACCTTCTTGCAAATGCCTATCATTGCCTGGGAGAAAAAGGTATGCGGACCATGAGCATGATGTTTTTTTTTTTTTTTAAACTTGTGATGTACAGAAGAAACAACGTGTTTTTGCAGTTCAGAGGGTACTGTAACGCGATTCAATTTGTAGTAGCGCGCTGCGACATGCTGTGATGCTCGCTGTGTCACACACATGAGTTTTTTTTTCCTCCTAACAGCGATTGCTTAGCCACTCTGTGAGGCCTGTTATCAGGAAGCATTGCATTTGAACCCAGAGGACCCGGTGAAGTCATAGTGATGTCATAGTGCCATCGATGCCATTGCACCAGCCCTGCAGCTGCCCTGCAGTCGGCAGGATAAGACTGTGGAGGAGGCGTTTGACTCTCAGGGGAGCCTGCTGTCAGTGAATGGCAAGCTCATGATGGATTCTGACCAGAAATTGATGTCTACTTCACAGACCCACAAAAAGAATAGAACATACCAGTATGCCATGGACACTTCGCTTTCAAACTTCTAAGGCTTGAGCGATGCCTACAGAGAAAACGTGGTGGTGGAAATCAAGCAGCGGGTGCACCTGCGGCTGGTGCCGGTGCACCTGGTGGTGTGCCACCTGCTGGTGGTGTGGTGGCAAACCCTGGTATGCCAGGCATGCCAGGGATGCAATCCATGCCGGGGATGCAAATGCAGCAAATGCCAGGCATGACAATGCAACAGCCAATGATGGGGATGCAGCAGCCTATGATGGGCATGCAACAACCGATGATGGGCATGCAACAGCCCATGATGGGAATGCAACAGCCTATGATGGGTATGCAACAGCCCATGATGGGAATGCAACAGCCTATGATGGGTATGCAACAGCCAGCTGGAGCAATGTTTGGGCAACAGCCGATGCCGGGAATGCAACACCGACTCGTTTGCTGGGGAGTGTGGTATAAGCAAGGAGTTTCCACCATCTGCAATACAAGAATCCCAGCCAGGGAGATGCAATCTAAGTGACTAGTGCCTGAATGCTGATCGGAGATCTTCTCTTCCAAGCTTGTGCGCTGTTTGCTCAACCCCCCATGTTGAATTACGAAACCCAAAGACGCAGGGCAGCAAAATGTCAGAGGCGCCCTTGCAATCCAGACAGCTGAATCTGCACTTGATAATTTCTCATAGATAGGAAGGCAAACCACACTGCGGATGAGAAATCTGCAGAAACCAATTTCGCTAGGGACCTTCGAGGTACCGCCTCTGGGCCCACAGCTCAGTAGATGGAGAATAAGTCAGACCATTTAACTTGCAGTGGATTGATTGTCCCAATTAATAATTATACATATAATAAAATATATTTTATCAATAAAATTTATATTAATTTCAATATAATTACCCCGTATTACTTTGGCAACGACCTATCAAATTATAATTCCGGAGAGAACCACAGTTAAGCAAAATGGATCCAGTGCCGTGCATCACACCTTCCCTTTCTGACCGTTGTCACAAAAATGGGTAGCTTGATGCCTTATCATTTGTCAGGTGTCCAGGTGAGGAGAGGTACTCATGATCAACTTAGAAATGTCTTGATCTGGACATACCTGGACCTTATTTGTGGGAAAGACCTGTATGAAACTCTTAAAAGCCTGTTCTCTGCAGTCTGCTTTTATCCGGTCAAGCAATTTAAAGCAGCAAGCATTGCGAGTCAACATGTCGAGTGCAACGCTGCCCATCGAGGTTTCCACCTGCACAAGCAGGGGTTTGGGTGCTTAACCTGCTGTCATAGCCTGCAAGGTTTGTATCAGAGAGTGCCAGAGATCACTTGGTCGACTGCCAAATGTTGACTCCAAGTCCTGTTTTCATTGCTGTGATCAGCAGACACATCCATATAACAATTTATAAAATCCCCATCATGGTTCAAACAGACCAGTGCTGGAGCTGAGTGTGATACCGTCTCAGGCTTCAGGTGCGTTGCCCACAGAGTTTCACAAGCTCACCGAAAAGGCTGGACGTTGATGCAACGTGGCACTTTCAGTTGGAATATTGTCCACTACATGTCAAGAGTCAAAGATGTCACAGCACGCTTCTTGATTTGTTCCAAAGGATGGTCCTGAAGTATCCAACTATCACAAATATTATATGGCCCATATTATTTGCAGTTGGAGTGGGCGACAGGAGATGCGGCAGCGCCTGGAAGAAAGTGGGGATGGCTCAGTGGATGGTCAGACCCATGTGGATATAAAAAATGGATACCTCAGGATACCTCTCCCAATTTCAAAATCCAACGCCAGGAGGTCTCAGGATCTGAAATCTGGCATCTCCGAGGTGTAGCAAAGCTGTCAGATGAACAGTTAGATGAAGAGCTTAGGGGCGCAGGACTCCAGAACTCCCGGGGCAGCCGCGGCCAGGTTCTTACCCCGCCCCGTAACCGCTTGCGTTTTCCATCGTTTTCCTGCAATGTCACAGCATGTGAACTTAGAAAAAGAAGGAACCATAGGAACCGGTGGCATTGTCATATATTGTCATTAAGAATCAAAAGCGATGCGACACACTTGCCATCACTGCAGGAATCAACTTGCCTCCAACAGCCACCAGAGCTGAGAAGGCACAGGGGTTTCCGCATTTTTCCCATCAAAATAGGCACCACATCAAGAGACCACATAAAACGATCCAACCTCTGAAAGCGCGAGTTCTGCTTCTTGTTCGACAAAAAACGCATGGCAGTTGCAGCTGGACTTGTTTGGGTCCTGGATGCAGGTTCAACAGTACCTTCAAGTTGATATGCCTGCAGCGCCACATGCTCAGACGCCCGAGCAAGTGCCCTTTGAAATCGCACAAGCTGATCCTTATTGATCCTTCCTCTTGGCCCAAGCACAGGTTGGTAAGTAATGAGAACAATGTGTATGTTTTCATATATGTTTTCTTTTTTCTCGACTTTGGCTGGCCGTGGCTATGGTCAAGGCCTGTGGTGGCAGAGAAAAAGAAACAGCCAGTGATGGCTAGATTTGTTTGGCTGCCCAGAGTTCAGTGATTTGAACTTCAGAAGCATAATAGCGCATGGGTGCTTGCGGCTGTCAGAAATGTGTACAAGTTGAATCAGAACAACACGAGGAGGGATTGTTTGGATACGCTGAACTGATCCAACAACTCGTTGCTGGCAGATCTACAATCGAAGATATCGAAGCTTTTCTGTTCAATAAAGTTTCCAAACACTTGCCTCATCACGGACGATTTCCCAACTTTTCACGCGCGCCTCCTGAGTTTGGACAGGGTTTTTCCACATGCTGCGCTATCCAGAAAAAAATTGCAATCCATACCCAGTGATGTGGGGAAAGTAAAATGTTTCGCTGCACTAAGAATGGTAATGGATAATTGACCATTCGTAGCTTTTTTTTTTGGAGAAACTTTGTTGTTTCATGTTGTTTCCCATTTACTTATCAAATGTTTGTTATAGCCATCTATAGCCAATTCTGGAGGGTTCCCCCCTTGAATTTCAAGCTCCAACCGCCGTCGAGGGCGATGGGATGGGGGACAACACCCGTGGAGATCGCCTCATGGAAAAGCGGAAAAAATGGGTGGAGGCCAGGGGATGTCGATCCTAAAAATTGGGTGTTTTTGGTGGTAAACATTGGATGCGACATGTGGGACCCTCTTGTGGTCTTACTACGTTTTGTTGAAAACGTGGTAAGGCCCCGAGCTCCTTCATGATGGCTCAGATTTCTAACTTTTGAATACTTTTGAATACTTTTGATCATATGCATCCACTCCCTCTGGAGTGAAGCTGCTTAGATCATCCATGGATCAGAAATCTCCGGCTTGGTAAGCAGAGCTCACTGAACTTGTCACCCTACAACCAGCTCCTTCGGTTGCACGTTGCCCAATTTTTTGGTCAGGAATGGAGCACCTGGGACGAGGATGGGAGCCACAAATTGGTGACTCCTTGGGAGCAGTATTAGCATGTGGCTTGTGTCATCCGATATCCAAGTGGACATGAGGGATACTTTGGGCACATAACCTATACATTCTGCTCCGGGGATCATGGTCACAAAAGCGGTAGCTTCTACTTTGCAGCGCATGCAGCTGTGTGATTTCACACTCCCCGATACCATTCCCATCCTGAACCATCCAAAAGCAACTACCACAGGCAGTGCTTCATTTGGGCATTGGCTCCAATTGCAGCAGAATATACCAACCTTATCCAAACGTCAGGGGCACCAATACAGCATTGCCGGAACCCAAACCCCCAAGTTTTGGCGTCCCTGACCTTGTCCAGATGGAAAAAATCCAGGACAGACTCCTTCATCGGCTGCTCAAGCTGGGTATCGATGCTTCAGGGTGCCTCAGGGGGTGTGGAGGGGGAGTCAAGATTGCAGAAGAAGCGAAAGCTATGTTTTTGTAGAACAGAAGGCATGGTTTCTCATGGTTTCTCCTCAATCCTCAGTTTGCCAAGGATTGGTTGTTTTCCGATGCAAGTGTGAACACACCGGCAATAAGGGTACTTGGGTACTTGCTCCCAACACACCCTGCTGGCCCTGCTGAGCGGCAACTTGCCAGGAATCCGAAATCGCGACTGATCGATATCCTCCTCGAAGCCGAGACGGAGAGATTCAACAGGAGCGCTCGGTGCCGAGTCAGTGCCGAGTCAGTGCCGAGCGACTTGAAGCGATTCGTGGCGAGTTCAGTTCAATAAACTGAGCACTTGTGAGTACTTGTGAACAACTGTCTTTCAATCTCCTTTCCTCAATGCGTGACCAAACCTACACCATCCGGAAATCATGTGCCGCCAGGCAAAGATGCACCCCGAAGCGGCTTCAATTTCTTGGACCTTGAGCTGCAACAGATTTGGACTTTTGCAACGGTCAATTCTCGTCATTTCTCGTCCGTGCTTTCAAAGATGTTTCAAAGAGTACAAGGTTGCCAGAAGTGATTGGGACTTCGAAATCAAACCGCTCCAGCCATTCCATCGCCGAGGTTTGGCTTGTGTGGGTGCAACAGTCCTCGGCAGCTTTGTGGTAACGGGAGTCATTTTTGCCATTGGCGGCATTTGACACTGCATCGAGTCCCTTAAAGGGGTCGAGCAGTGGGCTGCGCTGGCTGAGTTAATGTGTTGTTTTTTTCCTGTTCCCATCCAGAACACTTCATTGCTGGCGGAGCATTTTGCCTAGGCAAAGCCGGGCAGATGTTCCGCTCCGTTGGCCGCGGCCAGCTGTTGACTGACCTCATGATCCAAGTTGATCTTCATTTTGACATCAAATAGACACGAATTGTGGAATAATTGTGGTAAATAAGCCCCCAAACCAAAACCACATGTTCGTTTTCAGCTTTGATACCACTAATGAGCAAGGAATCCATCAAGAATCGGATCTGAGATCTGTCAGCATTTCCGCCCTTTTTTTGGCGGGTCTCTCCAAATGGTGAGAAAGTTTGATCTAGTGGCGTCTTGGTCGCCAGTCACAAGTGGAGCAGGAATGAGCAGGATAGCTGTGAAAGTTTCCCAATATATCCCAATATCATGATGCTACCTACTCATAGCTCCAAGAAGCCACTCGCGATCATTTCAGTGGCAGCTGTTTCAGTCGGCGATTCCCAGATCGGCGATTCGGCAAAACTCCTGAAAGAAAATTGGACACACCGTTCTTGAGAAGAGATTTGGAAAGAAATCTGGTCGGTTTCACAAGTTGCCTCTCTCAGTTGCCTGTCCATTGGTCAGGTTTGGACAAGCCATCTGGAAACCGCCAGTGTCAATGTTTCAGTGCCACCGAAAATGTGAGGATGAAGTGCCCCTCGTGTAGCAAGGGTCGAGGTTCAGTGGTTCAGTGGTTCAGTGAGCAAGATGTTGGAGGTCTACCCTCTGGTAAACTAACATAACTATGGAAAATCACCATTGTTGATGGGAAAACCTTTCCAGGTGCAGAAATGCTCTCTTCGCGCTCGCAGGCGAGGTCTCAAAGCTGGAGACTGCAACAATGTGTGGAGTGACGCAGCATGAAGAAACGGGTTGTCACAAATCAATCCCTTGTGGCCACACATCCCCTGGAAGAATAGGATCACTTGCTTGATGTTTGGCACCCAATGTGGTCGACATTTGATTTCCTGCAGCAAAGAAGGCAACTTTGTGGCTGTTGAGTGCTCGTTGCACAATGACTGGAGTTGGAACTCCTGATCGTACGTAATGCCCTCTAGATGCTTTGACATGTTTTGACCTTGTTGCAACATCAATTTTCTGGAGGCAATGTCTTCTCAAATGACTTCGTGGCAGCCCAAGCACCGCGGGTTTAGGAGGAAATGATTGGGAAGGAATCCATGATAATCCATGGCCCCCGCCAGTCTAGTGATATTATACAGTAGTGACAGTGACAGTGATATTCTGCTCTTCCAATGATCTTTGTGAAATCCATGGCGGACTGCCATGACAGCCCAGCTGAGGCGTCCTGTGATGCCAAGACGCCCAATGTCAGCCGAGGCAGCAGCTGAATCGGCTGGTTGGTTAACTGGTAGGTCCCTGGCGCAGAGAACCAACGGAATACGGCCTGGACAAATAGAAGCAGTCACTGTGACTACAACAGTCGTGAAATTGGATATTCAACAGACCATTATATTATAGATACAAACCATTAGTTCGCACTACAGTTTAGCATTCCGAATTCCCAATATCAATATGAAGACCCAAAACCATTGGGCCGTGGACACAACCAACAGATATGGTGGAAGCTACTCAGTCCCAATATAGCCTGAGCATTCTGTGCCAGGAGCAGCAGTCTGAACGCGAGAGGATGCACGTCGGAACCTTGGTTTGTTCTCATGGCGTGAAGTATGGTGAAATCAGTGCATAGACAAAATGTGTAGACATGAATTTGGAGAGAGATTGACAAGTGTGTATGAATAATATTGAATATTTAGGTGATAGATCTGATAGATGGTGAGATGGTGTTTGACTTTATCCTCTCTTTTGACTCCCAGTGGCTGGACTTCCAGTTTTGGATTCAAAGGCTGTCGTAAATCCTGATCTGCCAGGACATGGTCAGAGAGTTTGCGAAGTTGGCTGTGAAAGGCTTGAGTTGCCAGTGCGGCATCCTGGCCATCAAACGATTGCATATACTGTACATATGATTCTCTCTGTGTGTCAAGGGTGATTGGTCCCGGCAATATACGGTTTAATGAGGGGATTTGTCTACGTTTTTCTGGTTTAACGTGGTCACTTCCAACTTTATTCATCCCAGTTGCGCGCATCAGCAAGTGTTCGCAGCAAGTTCGGCTTCAGGTGGCTGACCATGGGTGGGGCCCCAAAAAGCTGCAGCTACAGCTTCGACAAGGCGCCTATCGGCACCTGATATCACCTGCCTCGATTTGGGCACTGATCCAACGGTGCTCCGCCAGGCACTGAGGCGATTCACGGTGAACGTCGAGGGCGAGCAGCCCATTGAACTCGAGCGACTTGGAGTCAGGAAGTCATTTGACGTGGATCGAGACCCTATACTGGGTGATGGGCAAGTCTTGCAAGGTATGGGCTGACGGTTTTAGAAGTTTCAAGATGGCGACACCAAATGTGGCACCACATTTGACCGGGTCAAACGGTATTTTCCATGGATTACCATTTTCCATAGCTGTTCAGCAGGCCATGGGTTTTAACTCAGCTGGGCGGGATGCAGGTTGCAGCAAGTGATCGAAGTGAAGAAGGAGTGATGGTCATGGGAGTCATGGCCTCTTTGAATGGCTCGGTGGTGTGGTTTGGTGTGGTTGGGGGGAACCTCTAGTCGCAAATGATATATACTGCTTGAAAAAGCGTTTCAAGCGCATGGTGTTTCAGACTGTGGAGTTTACAGTCGTGAGGGTGATGATTACAGCTGTTTGGGATCTGTTTGGGTAAGAAGATGAGGCGACGAATCGAGTCTCATCGAGTCTCCTGTATGGTGTGCACCTTGATTCATATCGCACCTGGGATTCGTTGGGTTCAGGCCTCTTGGCTTTTTGAAAATTGGGATGGACGACCCCAGCTGAAGTAGGATGCAGATGGATGCAGCTGCACCAGGATGTCTTGAACACGCCATTTGCCAAACTCCTGAAATTGCCGCCGCCACATGTGCTGAACTGAGTGGAAGGGGAGAACGGATCAGTAGTTCTTCGGAATCCGATTTTTTGATCTAAGTATCTCATCAATTTCATGCTAGTTTTATTTGGTGCAGTGTCAGGGTTTAACAACATTCAACAACAAGTTGGCCAGTGGCCAAGACTGAACATTCTCGTCCTCTGCAGATCTGTAACCGCTGCTGCTTCACAAGTCACTGCGTCGTTCAGTTGGTTAGGCCGTGTGCGGCGAGCATCTGAAGAAACGGGTGGTGTGTTTGACGTACAGCTCCAAATTGCAGGACCCTGCTGGAAGGCAGCAGTTGTTGAACTTTGCAAGCGTTATATTTACTTGGCACGCATCGTCCTGTAGTTCTGAAAGGTGTAGGGAATGGGATTTACTTAAAATGATTTTGCATAGCTTTGCCTTTGGCAGCTGCAGGAACAGGAGGTCTTGGCGTTGCTGATGCCCAATCAGCAGCTCGATGAATCAACAGGGCTTTAATCCACTGCATGCCTACTGTCCTACTGTTAAACAGCCCCAGAAACCATGGTGTAGTAGGGGACATACACATGTTAGGGACCGTACATCTAATGCAATAGTGTTTGCACATGGTTGGATATTTGTCGATTGTTACAGGTAAAATGCTGGGTACTTTGCCTTTGAAACCACTGATGTGTGGACTGGGATTTCAGTTCCATGGGAGCTCTCCACTGCACATGTTGATGATTTGGAGGTAATGAATCTCATTGAGCTAACTGCAACTGCTGAAGTTGCAGATGACGTCAAACAGGATGGGCTGTAAATTATGACCCCCAAAGTTGCATGGCTTGAGTCCTAAACATCAGATGCGCGAGGTCCATTTGGGACCTATAGCCTATAGTCCTATAGTCCTGGGTTTCATGACTAGTTCGTCTCCACTTGCTTTCCAAGAGCACGATTTGAGGTACGACCAGGAGCGATTCTACAGCTGCATGAAGATCCTGAGGCGCCTTTTGGCTCGTCACGAGCTCACGTGTACTGGAAAGTGATACAGCTGTAGGATTGGACACCATGATACACCATGAAAAACATGGGAAAACTTGGTGAAAATTGGGATGTTCACCCATAGAGACATTTTCTTGCGCTCCAATCACTTCAGGTGGGCGCTGGAGCTTGAGATGAAGCCAAGAAAGAGTGACGCGGAATGCTGACAGCCGTGGCCTTCTTGGTCCAGTGCCTCCAAGGTCCGGATTGCACCTCGGACTGGTGTTCAAATGTGTTGAGACAGAAAGAAACTGAAGAAGTGGCCAATAGATCCAATAGATCCAATAGATCCAATAGTGTCCAGTTCCATCCAGTTTCGGACTGTGGGACTGTGGGACTCTCTGTGTCTCTGGAGTGCTTCGCATTGCAAGGCACCTCCAAGGGATGGCTCACACTCCAACATGACAGTGACGCCCAATTTCACACCGCACATGGCAAAGACCGTGAATGCGAAAATCGAAAAGATGCGTGGGTGTATGATGATGTCTGATGGTGTGATGTGTATCTTTTACATTCTTTTACCAGATTCAGGATGGGATGCAGCCCTAAGTAAGCTGTGGCTGATTTGGACACTGACCAAAAACCTGTTGCAATGGAACGCCATTGTATGACGCAACGGATGGGGAGGTCTACGCAGCTCTGCCCGTCTTGTTTGGCAGTGTGGCCTCACCATGATACTGGTATCACGGTATCACTGTGAAATTCACCGAATCACAGCAGAGAACGCTGCTTGTCAGAAGTCCACAGTTCGCAATCTCGAAAACGGAATCTTTGCCATCTGCACCTGGATGGTTCAGACTGCTGACGTTGAAGAGCTTAGAACGAGACGAAGAGCAATCAAGTTCAAAGGGGCCACAGATTTTGGTGGACTCTGTATCTATGCATTGAATTGCATTGATGCTTGCTTGCACACACTTACAAAAGTCTCACCGACGTGCACCCCCTCTGCAGAACGAAGTAGCTTGAAGGTTTGTTCTTTACCTGATGCATGTCTGATCAGAAAAGGTTGATTCACCTGATATTTCATGCGTTGAACTAGGTTTTGACTTTTGACACGATTCAATTGTTGAGTTGAGATCATCAAAGTCTTTGAGCACATGGTCCAGCCATGTCCAGCCCCAAACACTGCAAGACCACTGCCATTGGCCAAAACGCCATGTGGTCACGCTGGGTGCTGGTTCCCCTCCTTGCAGGGACCCAAGAGATCCCACAGGATGATACAGGATGGACCTTTCAGAACTGGGCTTGGAATTTGCTATCCATTTACGACGAATCTTGAGAATGTCATTGTAGTTTCCTTCAACATCTAGAAATCCATCCAGGAATCCAGGGTCTACTGTTGCGTCCGCTATTTCATTTCTGATTCTGAAGAATTGACTGGCCAGATCAGTTAACTCCCGACTCGGCCAGGCCTTGAGCCTTGAAGGCCTTGCTGATGTCGAGGCTGAGTTGCTGAGTTTTTCGCGGTGCGTTGGGAAGGGGCAAATGGCGAAAAAGTGGGACAAATGCCAGATCCGTTGAACATCCCTTCAAATCCTTCAAGAAACCACTGAAAATCTCGATGATTCATCCCTAAAAGCCGTCAACACCAGTCGAAAAGCTGCGCTAACGTGGCGGCATCGGGCCGCCTTTTCGGAGATGCGGAGGCAGAGCAAGCCGTGGACTCCGTGGACTCCGTGGACCGCAGCAAAGCTTTGATGCTGCTGGGAAGCCCAGGCTGGAATTTCTGGATTTTTTTTGTCAGACTTGTGCCTCAGGACCTTTCAATCTTTGACATTGACATTTTGGGTCTCTCTTGTTTTGAATGATATTGAATATGATATTGAATGATATTGAATGATTGTGCAGGTGGAAGAGGGACCATGAATAAGTATGACTAAACTCCCAAACCATCGCCCGTGCCGAGGTGCAAAGTGGCGCTGTGGCGGAAATGGTCAGAACGTGACCCAGACGAGGCAAGCAAGATGAGATCAAGACTGATCAAGGTCAAGATGTTGGAAGTACAGTTGGAGAACGGTGGAAGAACACACATCATTGGATATATAAGTGGCTACCCAACAAACGCTTCATCAGGAGCCATAGCCCAGCACTGGATGCCAAACCTTATGAACGTTGGGCAGGTGAGCAGTTTGGTGAACAGCACCATGCAGGTTCGGATGGCATCCATGGCATCAGATATTGGATGTGCATCTCACTCCAGAACTATGGCTATCTATGGCTAACTATGGCTGTAATCGCTATGAAAGGCCACTTTTCATGGGATAAACCCAGTTGTTGGAGGATGCATCAGGATAATCAACCGCCCGTTGGGAGGCCTCTGGCTCAGAGCTGACCTACGAGAAGGCCCCCCAAAATGGGGTGATGCAGATCTCTCCATTGAAAACAACAAGCTGTTTGGATGTACAGCAGGATCTCAGGGTTTTGAGTTGTCACGCCAGGCCGCACGGCATTTAGCTGAGAAACAACTGGCTTTATGTTCACGTGAGGCCTGGTGAGGGATGGCTGAGGTCACAAGGGCTGGGTGGATGTAGATGTGATGACTTTCAGCAAGATGCAGACAGGCAACAGGGTCCTTGAAGTCATCAACCAGAGGAGGTGGCTCAACTGATAGTCAATTGATGCCAGTCAGCTTTCATTCAGGTGACGAAAGCGGACTTGGATGCGCACGATTCTGGCGGCCAGGGCCCACGAAACAATTACAAAGCTGTTGCTCTTCGGAGCTTTGGATCTTTCATCTGTGAAAGAAAAGGTCGCAACATCCTCTATACTGAATCCCATTTTCCTGGAGCAACCGTATCGTATCTCAGGTGTGGTTCGCATCGATTTAATGCCCCTTTGGTATCCTTTGGTCAGATTGAGGTCGCTTGAGTGACGCAGTGGTGGATCGTTTACTGTCCAGGGAAGAAGGCGGCCAGGAATTGACCAAATTCCCATGGATCATACGCTGGGACCAGTGTCAAAGTGCAGATAGACCATGCATATGATCTCACAAAAATATACGTGCTATGTAGATATATGGTTGCCATATTATTCCATATTGTTCCAAATGGATGGAAAAGGGGCATAGTGAATGGATGGGATATTATGATATTCACAACATTTCACAACTATTGTTCATCGACCATCATCAGATACCACAGGTCCAGAGCTGAGTCCTGAGGCTGGGGGGATTTGAAGGGTTCGGGTATGGGCGGTATGGGTTGATGTACCTTATGTGCCTTTGTGCCTCCAGGTCACGAGAATATACTTTGCGATTCTCTCGTTTGAATTTTCAGAATTTCCGATTCGGATTCGAAGCATGAAGGCTTGCAACAAATACTATACCACGTCAAATTTGACAGGTTATGGGCATTTGGTGTCATGTGACCAGCGTCATGTGGCCAGCGTCATGTGACCATTGTCATGTCACATTCACTCCCCTGCCGCGGCGTTGGATCAGACCCTCAGAGAGCTGTGTGGATCAGCGATGTCGACATATGTCAATCACTGGAACCAGCGTGCTGTTTTAATCATGTTTTAACAACGATCCGCAGAATCTGCAGCACCTGATATCTGTGGATATCTGGCCTGCACCATGCGCGTGCAATGGAGGACACCACAATACAAAGATGTGCCACACCGGAAGCTGAAGCCCGAAGACCCGGCTGTTCTTCACTGGACCACATTATGACATAGACATCAGTTCAGGCAATTCAAAATGTGGGAAACCTTGTCGAGACTTGGAGGTCAAGAGATTTGTGAAAAGATGGCTCACAGGATGATCTTTTCCTTTTGTCGGACACACCTCCTGGACATATGACACGGCGATTTAAGAACCCATGGTGACCATGGTGTGCCCAGCATCAGGTCTTGTCTTTTCATGGATGCTTTGAACTCGAGCGAGATGCTTTTGGAAAGTTTGCAGGTGAGATTGTGGGAAACCCCGCAGAAGCCTACACCTGACGTGGCACACACTTCATTGACACAAATCCCAAATCATTCTAGTGATTCTAGTTATGTACGCTATAACTTATAGGATAGATATAGATAATGGATAGATATGATATAAATATAAAGTATAGTGTAATCAGTGTAATCGATGTCTACAGGATAGTATTTGGAAAAAACATATATCATGCAACATTAAAAATGACACTCCGATGCTGGTGCACAGCTCTCACGTTGCAGCTGTGGGCCAGGTGCACCACGACCATGTCATCGTGGTGACCGACAGACACGCCTTGGCGGCTCATGAATACTGGCCACCTGGCGGCAATTCGGTGATGTGCATGTCCTGCTTCTCAATCGGCAGCGTGTTTTTTGCCAATGTTTTTTTAATTCCAATGATTCCAAACACATGTCAACAACCATCCCACTTATAGGAAGTATGTTAAACACATTCAAACACCCCACTTGATCCACTTGCACGGTTGTGATTCCGTTTCCACATCCTTTTGAAGCTGTGTCTGCGCGGCTGAGTGGCTCAAAGATCCCCAGCCATGGAGAACTCCAACGGCTCCAAGGTGTTTCATGTCAGCCTTCCCAGTGGCTCCACTCAAGACGTGGTCGTCCCGGGCAGCTCCCGCATCGTTGATTTGCAAGATGCCGCCGCGAAGTCTCATGGCCATGGTCCATTGAGGCTGGTCACCCAAGATGGGCATATACTCGACCCCAGGCAGGGTGAAGCCTGAAACATCCTGAAACTGCAAAGAACAATTTGAAGAACATCTTGAAAGTGTAATGTTTGATATTTCTTGATGTTTCCACCATGCAGGGCACATGTAGGTGACATACAGCTGACGTGTGCATGAAAATCCAAGCTCTGATACTCCAGGAATCGCTTGCGGGATGAATCTCTGGGAGGAGGTGAATATCTCACTGCCGTGGCGGAGAAAACCGAGCTGCTGGCCTCTGCCTTTGCTTTCGTCATGTACTTAGCCAGTGGAGTTGGACACATTGAGACCTGGGGTCTGCGTGAACTGACCCGTCCTCGCGACATGCCACGAAGGATCCAAGACGGCGGTGTGAAGATGCTGCAGCTGGCAGCCACGGATTATGCCTTCGCCGCCATCCTGGAAGATGGAACGGTCGCTGCATGGGGAGATCAACGCTATGGGGGAGACTGCAGTTCGGTCCAAGCTGAGCTCCAAGATGTGCAGCAATTGGCAGCGACGGAATATGCATTTGCAGCAATCCTGAAAAATCGACACTGGGTGCTTTAAAACATTTCAAGCATTTCTCATATTTTTTTCACATGTTTCATCATTATAGGAATGATTCAATGATCATTCCCAATCCTCCCATACATTTCAGGTGGTTAAACAAAAACAATCAAAGACACACCAAAACCACCATCCCAAAGCCATCGAAAAGCCAGGACATGTTGTCACCTGGGGCGCCTACTTCAGTGGTGGCTCCACCAGCCTCATAGAGAAACACCTGGAAGATGTCCAGCAGATCTGTGGAAACAGCATGGCGTTCGCGGTCATCTGCGGCGATGGTCATGTGGTGGCTTGGGGTGACCTGGACTTTGGTGGTGACATTCGCCATGTCAGCCATCAGCTGCACGAGGTGCAGCGGATTGAAAGAAGCGATCGGGCTTTTGCCGCGATTCGGAGAGATGGCTCTGTGGTAACTTGGGGCCACCCAGACTACGGTTCTGACATCAGCAAAGTTGAAGATCAACTCACAGATGTGAAGCAGATTGCCGGCACAAGGTCTGCTTTTGCTGCTATTCTGGCAGATGGAAGTGTGGTGACATGGGGCAGCAAGAAGTATGGTGGGGACAGTAGTCTTGTCCAGGACAGGCTCAAAGATGTGCAATACATCCAGGGCACGAAGGTTTCCTTTGCCGCGATTCGAGCAAATGGTACTGCCGCTAGGTGAGAGTTAGATGCCTAGTGAGGGTTGCTCAACAACCTTGGGTCAGTTCGGTTTGGGTCCTGTTCCCAGTGATTCGTTATGATTCGTTGCCCTTTGTTAGCTTCAGGTTTGTTCACAGAAACTGTTTGGTGTAGAAGGGTGGCTAGGCAAAGCTGCCTCAGCATTCTTTGCTTACACTGATTTGAGTATTCTCAAGCGCGAAGGATAGTGTTCAGCAGGTGTAAGGCTCCACAGTGGCTCTCCTAGGTTGTGACCTGGGGCGAACAATACTCCGGCGGTGATAGTGCTGCAGTACAAGATCAGCTGAAAGATGTCCGGCAACTCTCTGCAACGGATTTGGCTTTCGCCGCAATTCGAGCAGATGGATCGGTGGTGACATGGGGAGATCCCCACAGCGGTGGTGACAGCCGCGCGGTGCAAAGCGAGCTTCAGAATGTTCAGCTGATCCGAGGCTCAAGCACTGCGTTTGCAGCGATCTTGGCCAACGGAGGATGTGTTACCTGGGGTGACAAGCTGGCAGGTGGAAATCGCGTGAGGAGAGGCCACAAGTCTTCGCAGTCCTGGTGGCCCTTCTGACCGAAAGCCCAGATATGCCCAGATCATCCCGGAGCCACGATGTTTGCCATAATGACCTAATGATTGCAGGCTAATGATCAACGGGATAAAGTGCGCTGCAGCATCACCTTAGAGAAATTAGCAGCTTCAGAACAATCAACCATTTCAATAGATGGGATGCATTTCAATGGGCATCATCGGTCATGGATTGGGATTTGAAGGAGAACACAGCTCAAGTAACTTTTGCATTCAGCGTGTAGGCTGATCAAGGAAGTAACTTCAAAGTCCTTGGCTACATGAAACCCAGCTAGAAAATGACAGTCAGGTTGACTCCTGTCCGCAAAGAATCCGGCTGATTCTGGCTGAGGCATCGCAAAACTGGCAGTTGCTGGATCGATGCTGTTTGGATCAGCAACCAAGAGTCGTGCGGGTCCTGGCACTCAAACATACCAGTTGAACATAGTTGCAAAACAAGGCTTGAGAATGGAGGAACCCTACAGTAATCTAACGTCGACGTCCATGCGTAGTCTCTCTTACAAGGGTCTTCTGCTGCACTTTAACGATGGTCAACTAGGTTGAGAAGTAACATCATAAATCCATCCACCTGCCAGTGGTGAACTATTTTCATCAGCTATCACTTATTTCAGAATAACATCATGAATCAAGGACATACCAAGACCAAGATATACCACACATGAACACAAAGTATTTCAGCTACTTGATATGATATATTATGATATACCACATATACCACATTATACCATATATATATTTACATGTGTATGTATATTATATGTGATAATATATATATATATGACACATATATATATATATATATTTATTATTATATATATAAAATAATATACACCATATATATGTTATATCACATTTGATACTATACATGATATATGGATATATATACATGGTTTAACCACCAATATAAACACCTTTAAAGACCAAGCTTCGCAAGCGCCCAGGTACAGTTGCTCTGGCACCCTGGTGGCCTTGCAGCGCTTGGAGGATGGGGGATCAACGGGGGGAAGCATCAAGAAATGGCGGAATTATCTATGGATTATGATGATGGATTATCTATGGATTATCTATGGATTATCTATGGATTATCTATGGTTTATCTATGGATTATCTATGGTTTATCTATGGATTATCTATGGTTTATGATGATGGATGAATCGGCAAAACATGAGGATTGACCGGGATTGGCTCATGGAGTATGAACAAAATGGGGCATCTGGATTGATGAATCAACAAGCACAGGATACCAACTAAAGTTCAGCCATGACCATGCGGGTGCAACATGACACAGGGGCGTCTATCAATGAAAAAATATGAAGCATACTTATTCACCAACAGCTGACCAACATATGAGAATATGACCCATGTTTTTTATTGATCACAAAGAAAAACATCTGAACCGTATTATCCTATTGCTGAAGAAGGGTGAGACATGAGCGAAGAAGAGTCAAGGAGCTTCACCAAATGATGCTGGGTCCACTAGAGTGCAGTGATGCCATCCGGCTTATGGTTTTAACTACTCCTTGAAATCCAAATCCACATCTTTAAAGGCGTCTTTCTTTGGGGGACTGATTGTCAGCTGGGCAAGAGTCACCTGAGAAAGTGTTTTCTTCTTACTCACTTAGGTTCCATGCTTGGTAGTTTGCTACTCTGGATGTTGCTGCTCACTGGTCTCCACATGTGCAGCTGTGAAGGCACCAAATCAACTGCCCCGATCACAACTTCAAATCAACTTTGCAGCTGCTGACCAGGTGGGAGTGTGTCGTCTCTACATTTGGGCTCCCTGCAGATCCTGCTCAAAAGACTCAGAAACTATTAAACATCTCTCTATATATAACATACTAACATACTAACATACTAACATACTAGCATACTAGCATACATACATACATACATACATACATACATACATACATACATACATACAGATATACATACATATAAACATACTCACATACAGGCATACAGGCATACATGCATACATGCATACATGCACACACACACACATACATACATACATACAGACAGACAGACAGACAGACAGACAGACAGATATACATACAGATATACATACATATAGACATACTCACATACAGGCATACAGGCATACAGGCATACATGCATACATGCATACATACACACACATACATGCATACATACATACATACATACATACGTACATGTATATATAATATAACAGTTTTGGAATGTTTTTAATGGCAATTCGTGCTGCTTGCCAGGTGGTGAAGGTAGAGTTTGTGGCTGGACTGCATCAACATCTGTGGTGGGCCCCTAGAGTTTACGAATTGATGGTTGAAAAGTGAGTTTTTAGGTTACCCGGTTGCTTTTAGTTTTTGTGCTCATCCATTTGTATTTGACTTTGCCCATTTGCACTCAACATCTTTTTGCCAGCTCTGCATGATTCCGTGACAGATGAGAAATAAAACATATCCAACAACTGCACTTTTGAACACGCGGCATCTCCAAAAGTATGGTCCTCCAATCATGTACACTTCCAGATGGCTTCCATTGAGTTAATCATCGGTTCCCCTTGCACAATGTCATTTTTGGGATATAACCTGTGATAATCAACAATGGAATAACTACCATTTATATGTAGATGATTTTCACATCAAAAACTCCATTCATAGATACAGTATGATACAGTATTTATAGAGGATCTTCCCTTTCAACAGCCGAAGCTCCGCCACAACTATTTGGGTCAGCCGAAACTCCGCCACTGAGATGGTCAGCGAAGTGAGTCACAGCGAGTTTGAGGTGCAGGTGCTCAGGGCCACCTGGTGCTGAAGTGGGAAGGCCTGCCATGACCATGACTGGGGATGGTTACACCAAAATGGTGATGACTTGGGGATGGTATTTATAGTTGGGTTTTTCACATTGTACCTATCTGTACCTCATAAACTCGAGGGATGGAACCAACCAAAAAAAGGATATCTAAGCAGCGAACAATGAGGTGATTTCACATGATTTCACCATAGATGGGGGAATGAAAACAAACATTCAGTGGAGATAAATGGAGATCAAATAATATAGCCAACATGATATCAATTTGCAAAGGTGACAATTTATAGGACCCCCCTATAGTTATATAATGGTACAGAACACGGCTTTCTGAAAACAAAACCCAACCAATCCACTGAGTTAGTGCCTCTGTCTTGTAGACACTCATATTTGCCCACAATGGCAGGGCCAAAACGGGGTGCATGGCACAGTTTAAAAATGAGCTCTTAACATTGTTTTACATTGCTGAGGGTAGCTGAGGCTATTCATGTTCGGTGGTGTTTTTTCGTTTTAAATGCTGGCCAGCATCAAACGAGGAACGGAGACATCGACGAAACTTTGGGGATGAGGCCGGTAGCTTCGGCATTTGGAGTTTGATTTTTCAAAGGTGAATCTGTTCCCGGGTTGAGATGGATGAAGGAGTATGAAACAAGTGCAGTTCAACTACGATAATTAATTAAATGAGAATTGGATTTCAGAGTCATTTGCATTGCATCTCTTCTCAGTGTACTGGCTGTAGGCAGAGCGTTGTTGCCACAGGTTTGCAATGAGTGATCTTGCGATCATAGCCCACCTGTGGTGTCCACTGACATTGTTCTGGAAGGTATACTTGTCCAACGAGGAGTACTCCAACTTGGCTGTAGCTTGCCGCAGTTTGCCTTGAAAAATTGTAGCTAGACTGACTCTGCCATCCAACGGGCTGAGCATGCAGGCACTATAGGTATTCTTCTGGAACGGTGGATAACATACCGTAGGCATCAAGAAAGTGCAAGGTCAGAGGCAATTTCTGCAGAGATCATGTGTAGTCACAGGTATGTAAATCCAATATTATAATTATATCCGATCTACGTATGCGTGTCATAAATGCTTATATGGGGTACATACGGGCGCAGCTACATATGTGAGCACTGCTTCCTGGCTTGGTGCCTAGGTTCAACTTGCTGGCTCGCGCGCAGCCGTCGGAAGGCCAGCAGCTGCGAGATGAGTTACACTATATTGCCCAATATATTGGGGATGGTCATAATCCATGAACATATTTAACAGGGAGCTGGTGAAAGACTTGGTGAAAGACTTCAATACTCGGAGATTCATTCTGAAGTCGTGTCTGATCATTAGAATTTAATGTGGAATTTTGATCAGAGACAACATGTTGGGCAACATGTTGCATTGTGTCCAATCTTCCGGGCCAAATGTCGCAGCCAACCATTTGTCACCACAGAAGCCGTTGCAACTTGGAAACTTTATTTTTGGATTGACCGTTTTCGTTGTGCCAGGGTTCGCACATTGGACATCGTTGGAGGCTTCTGGTCGGCCGAGACTAGACAGTGCCTGTGCTGAATCATTGTGGATGGTACTTCTCCGACCCTGAAACAGTTTTTAAAGGTTCCCAGATGTCCCCAGTCTATTCAGTGTCTCGGTATATGTCTAGGTCAGTCTGTGGCATCAGATTGGGGTTTTCTCCATGTGGATCAAGTGGCCTCTAGGTGTTGAAGGCATGCCTGCGCCGTAGCGATCTCTGCTGTCTCACAAGATTAGAAGGTTCAACTCATGCCCTTCATCGGACCCCTTCCAGAGAACTTTCGATAGAACATGATAGAACACTTCGGGGAAATTACAGTACTACTACATTACTACATTGAGTCCTTTCTCTGACTGCTGAGACCCCGCTTGAGATAGATCAACACTTCATCACATTTCGCTCCCTATCCCATGACGTTTGATCGTTTGATCATCAATGGCCAGTTGTTTGCCATGTTGTGGCCAGTTGCCCAAGTTTGCTTCCGACCTGAGGTGTGCCAGACACGAGCTTTCGCTGCAGGAGACTTGCTGCGATTGATGCAGTTTTCCATGTTTTAACTGTGCTATTTACAAAAGGGGAACATGGATGATCTCAATCTCTCTATCAGGTAAGTGCTTCGAAACATAGGATGAACTAGTGATATTGTGTGCGTCAAAAGTACAATGCCATTAAACGCCTATAATATCAAATATGGACACACGACACACATATAACATATAGTATACCTGTATCTTCCAAAGGGCCTGAATTTCAGCCTGACCTCAAATATCAGCCTGCGGCGGAAACTGAAAACTCAGGCGGAAAGTGATTTTATCCATATTTTGAGGTATTCTGATAAGATCCTGGTGGACGATCCAGGTGAAAAGAAATGCTCTGTGGGTGATGTTCGCTGTTTTTTTATGCTGGTATCTAATTTTTATAAGTTTTTTCGGGCGGAAACACCCACGAAACGGGCGAAAACAGCCACGAAACAGGCGAAAACACCCGAAATGAGATTTTCATGTAAAACAGTAAACTTCTTTAACGCTGTTATCAACAATATATCAACAATATATACGTAGTGTGAGCGGGCATCTTAACCAAACATCATCAAAATCACTAAAAACACAATCGGGCAGAAAAAACCACCCCAGGCGAAAAAGATCCATTCGGACTAAAATTTCAGCCTGAACAGCTTCGGGCTGAAAAAGCGGCCTGCGGAAGGCCTAGGTATAGACTACAATACGCTAATTACACAGATTTACCATATTAGTGACTGCTTTAGTGAGTAATTATCGTGCCTGTTTCCTCTGTTTTGGCAGATCATTTCTGTCCTTTTTTGTGGCAATGTAACTTTGGTTACTTGAAGTTACTTGATTGCCAGGGAATCATTCGTCAGGTGTGTCAGATTCATAAGCAGTCCAAGTCACTCAACTGAACTCAATCTAAACATCATTAAATATCATTATCATAATCACATATAATCACCAATATTTCTGAAATTGCCTGTTGGTGGATTTCTTCGTGCTGCATGCTCTGCAGGAGCGGCAGGGAAAGACACTGCAACTTCAACGATATCTGGCAGCGCAGGAAGCCAAATGCCCAACACCAGCCGCACCCGGCCGGGTTGGATGTCGGAATTGATTTCTTTTTGCGATTTGAATTGAAATGACCGACATCACCTGGTTTATGACCGACATCCAACCTCCAAAAATCCAACGATTTAAATGTAGAGGTTGGATGTTGGACCTCTGAGTGCCAAGTTGTACCCGTGGAAAGAACATTGAGATGTGACAGCACGCTGCCACAGAGCAGTCGAGTTTTCTACAAGCTGCTGGCCGGCGAAATGTCCGGAGGTGGTGGGAAAGCCAGAGCGACCAGCACAATATGTGCAACGCGCAAAGTTTCGTGGTATCGCTTGTGGCGCTGAAAATGCAGTGCAAAGGGCCTTGGTGATTGCAACATCTCAAAGATAGAATGTCCTTTTCGAATCGTTTTGGTACTGGTACTTTGCGTGAGTGCAACTAGCAGTTGTTTTGCATTTGGATGCATCTGAAAGTGGCATTTCAAAGCCAACGCACCAAGCAGTACAGCGCGGAAGGAACGAGAACTTTTTGAGCACGCTGACAAGGGTGGCTTCTCCGAAGCTCCCTCTATCTTGGGCGTGCAGGTGGGGATGGGGATGAGGATGTTGAGATGGCTGCCGCTCCAAGGTGGAAATCCTCAGAGAAATGATCGGCTCCACAAAGTGAGCCTTTGCACATCTGAACATCTCTGAACCATGATGGTTTCAAGATGTTTCAAGTAGACTTGGGATAGTTGGGCGATTTCCCAGGTGCATCGAGTCCCAGTTGGCCTGCAGCTGCTGTATATGATCCTGGTGGTATCTCGGCCCGGAGAGGTCAAATGTCAACCCACCCGTTGGACTGATTGGTAGCTGCCTTTTAAGCAATTACACACAGCAAACATACAGCGCATTTCAAGATATTTCAAGTATCAAGTGACTGTGACGCATGCACAGTTGTGGTAGGTAATGACACATGCATGACAGCATGACATATCTATCACTCCTGAGTTGCTCAAGACGCTTTAGTGGCAGCTCCGGCCGTGTCTGGAGCCCCTGGGTCGCCCCCTTCGCGATCGATCTTTGGATCGCCATGTCCTTCGTGGAGCGGAGATTGAAGCCACTTCCGAAGACCTTCGCATATGAGGACGAGGCATCACCGGTGCGGCGCACTCGGTCATGGACCTTCTCAGATTATGTGCCCTTTGAAACTTGGAGAAAAAAAGGACAAAGCTGGGGCCACAAATGTGGTTCGGGGTATCGTCGGTATCGTTCTTGACCGAATGCTGGTGTTTGATCTCAGATGTTTCCCTCTGATCCCATTCTCAAACAGTTTTCATCATTGCTTTGATCCATATCCATATTTGTTATATGGCCACTGGCTCAAGCTTGGTAGGTTGTCATGAAGCACACCACTATCCCAACCACATGTGGTGCTCAGGAGATGGGATCTGCTGATCCTGAAGATTCTGGTGCTGAAAGCATCCCAGTATGGCCAGACACCGATGACGAGGAGCAAATGAGCATGAACTTTGAGACATATCGAAAGAACACAGAGCAGAGCTTCCAGAGCCTCCAGAGCACACTGGAAGGTCCCTTAGTCGCAGGATGTTGCAGCGAAGTTGTGGACCTTAACGGAGATGGGAACAAGAAATGGGAAAGCCAGAATGGACACATGTCTCCTGGTATGTCAGTAATAGGTCAGTATTCTCATGAGATTTTTGTTTAGTTCCGTTTCTTCCAGTTTCACACAGGGCCTTTGTGCGCCAGGTTCCCCGCGAAGTGAATCAGAGACGGGTCCCACGCCCACCAGCATCGATTTGGCCTCAGCCCTGGGGGACACACCGAGCACATCGGCATCGTGCACCACGTCTCTACGGCCGGCGCCTGTGAATCTCAGTAATGACTTGGCAGTTTTTGGGATCTCGTGTGATCTCCTGTGATCTCCTGATGGGGTGATAGAATCTGATAGAATCTGATAGAATCTGAAGTTTCCAACGTTTCCAATTCCAAGTTTCCGGATGATTTCGTATCTAATTTCTTCATCTTGTAGATCCTGTAGATCTATATTATTCAGAAGGATTCAAATCTATTCAGTCAATTCTTGGTTTAGTTCAGCGTTCAGCAGTCGTTTCTTCTCGTTTCTTCATGGGTCGGTGACGGGAATTGAGTTGGCACCAAGCCAAACACTGAAACAGTTGCAGAATGTGAGGGCTATGAAATGCCACGCATGACAATTCCATACAACTCCTGATATTTTGCCAATCTCCTGTCTCCAAGGAATGTGACACTGCCCATCCTCCCTCACCCTGTGAATTGTCACAGTGAGATGCTACTGGCCACCAATCCTCAATTTTCCCCGGTCTCCTGTGGAGCGAGGACGGCTCCAGCTACCTCCCCACAATCATCGCCCATCGGTGCCCCATCCTTCAAGTTGGACGGCTATGGCGGCCCCATCTCGCCCATCTCGCCCATGTCGGATGGCCGGGGATCTAAATCCAAGGACAAGCAACGGTCCCGACCGGAGCCCAAAAGCAGTGGTGAAACCACCACTTTGATGATCCGTAACTTGCCAAGTCATTTGACACAAACAGAGTTGCTGAATGAATTGAACAAACTCGGCTTGTCAAAGCTCTATGACTTCTGCTACTTGCCGCGAGATTTCAACGTTGCAGAGAACAAAGGCTCCTTGGCATCGCATCGAGGTTCACAAACTGTCCAGTTTCTGTTTCCAAGCCATTCTCATAGACTCATGGCTGTTTACTCTGCAATGATGCACCAGATGTGTCGATTTCTGTTGACTTGGCGATGCTTGGTGCTTTTTCTTTAACTGAAACAACATGAATCTGCCACGATGCCCCAGGCTATGCCTTCGTGAACTTTGTATCTCCAGAAACAGCTCACATGTTGGGACCTCAGACAGGTGGCCAGCGGTGATGGTGGAAGCCAAAGAACGGACATGTGGGATTCGTGGCTGCAAATGTGCAATATGTAAACTGACAATAATTGATATACAACATGATATTATATTATATCTGTCTACTGGCGTATCACTTAGATTCCTGTATATTACTGTAAATGGTGACCCAATAGCTGCAGAATGGCAATTGTCAAGGGTTCAACATATTTCAACATAGTTTTTTCAAAGATTCTGCCATTTACTCAACAGTTTTTTTTTATGTGACTTCAGCAGCACCTTAACAGGATTTCCCTCAACCGCAGGTTCCGGAAGTCCTTCGCCACGGGATTCCTGGCGGGACAGCAGCCGGTGATCGCCGATGCGCTGATTCAAGGCTTAGAAGCGAACTTGAGGCCCGGTCGCGCGATGTCGCGCGATGTCGCGCGTGGGGGTTGGGGGCCCATGATAAGATTGATAAGGGTTGAGAGCTTGAAGGTAGGGCGATGATTTTTTAAAAAGGATTTTTGTTCAAAACTGGGACAAACATCTGGCTCTTTAGAAGGATTTTTAGAAGTGAACATCTGGCTCTTCAGAACTCTAGGAATTTTGAGCCGCTGAAAAGTTTGAGCCGGAGCTGACAGCACAACTTGTGACAATTTACCCGGTACCAGAATGCCCTTGGTGCAGGAAGTGGTGTGGACCACGACTGAGTCGTATCAGAAATCCAGATCTGAAGCCATTTGTTGCAGCAGAAGCTCTGGAAAGTGGTTCTACGGACCGGTTCCTGGGTTGCAAACCCCAGAATCGTCAGATCCAGAGGTGCAGTTCAGCTGCACCATGCTGCACCACTCAGGACAGTGGCCTCCACACAGAGTCAGGCCACTCCTTGGGGCGCTTGGGGGTTCGAGGTCATAAGTTGAGAAAAGGTGGGTGCGTTTCATGAGAAAATGGTGGATGCGTTTCTGCAGTGTGAGAGGCTGGGGTCAGGAATGTCATCCCCAGTCAGATATGGATGGCATTGGATGGCAATTTGGGAATATCTTGTCTCTGCCAAGTTGGGCAAGTGAAAGTTGCAATGCAAAATGGTGACTTCGTGTTGCAAAAGGCTCGCGCTATGATGCCAGCTGTCGACCTACAGCCCAACACCCCGACCCCGGTGCGTCACTGAAGTGGCTTTGAGCAAAGGAGATGTGGGGATGGGAAACCACTTGACTGGTTGGTGGAGTTGCATACATTTGTTAAATCTTGTTGTGCAATATTATGCCAAGAACAAAGGATAACAAAGATATCCTTTGTTTTGAATCCGCTTGAGCAACTGCAAAGACCACAGATGCACTGGACTGGCAGTCAAATGACATTGTCGCATTACAATAGCTTCACATGCACTGAAGCTGTCAAAAGTAGTTTAGGAATGTTTAGGATGTTTAGGTCACAACCTATAGGGATCTTTTCTAAAAAATCCTTTCTTGACAACTTTGCGGTTCTTTTCTGCCAGCGTCCCAACATTTCATAAACAAATCCACAGATCCTGAAGGCCCGGAGACAAGTTTGCGCTGTCCCTCCTTGCCCGGAGGAGCTCGTGCACTTCTTTCAATCTCTCTGTCGCCTTCTTGAAGAATTGCGAAACTGAAAGTGCATGAGTAGGTGCAGTGGAATTCAGAAGGCGTGTGACACCTGATGATGATCAACGGCGGAAAGATTTGATGGTCGACAAGACAAGTGTTTGACCTGGACCAATAAGTCTACTGGCATGTGAGCAAGTCCCAAAAGAAAAACATTGAAATGAAGCAGATGCCCGGATAGAACACCTGCTTTTGGTATATATATAATTAGTTTGGTCCTGAATAGGTGGAAAAACAATCGTGCTTTCATACAAAAATCACAGAGATCCATTTCAACATACTGTATTCAACCCAATTTCCGTTGTGATGGTGGTGCTCAAGAAAGGCTTGCCACAATTTTGGATCGATTTGGATTCTCTCCCTCTCTCTGCACATGTCTCTTTCTCCTTATTCTTTGTGCTGAACCTCAGTGATCATATCAGGTTCCAAAGACCGACTTTTGCAGACAATCTCGCCCCTTGCAGCTGCGCATGGCTCAGTGCATGTGCTGGGCGTCAGACTTGTTCTGCCTCCTTTGCGCACACGCCGCACGGGTCAATTCCATGCAGATCTTCCGATGCAAGAGAAAGGCACTGGTAAGACTAAGAGAAGCATGGCATCAATTCGGCGCCACGTCCTGTAGTTATACACTACCATACACTACCAGTGCCATACTAGGTATCGGGGTGGCTCTAGTGAGAAGAGGCTAGCAAGATCTGATCATTACCGGACCGAAAATCGTGCTCGTAAAATCAACGTGTTTGTTGGGATGGGGTGGGGTGGGGTGGCATATTAACGTCCCTTGCCGGAAGAACTTCCAAGTACGTTCTTGATGCTATGTTACAAACTCGTGTAACAAGTCTTGGCAATGGAGTTACATCAACCTCCATGCCAATTTGCAAAAGTAGACGATAGAAGCTTTGAAGCGCATCTTCTGAAGGAAAAAGGCTTGCTTTAACCATGCACCAAAATGATCCGATGAAAATGATCGTGGTAAAACGCGAAAACGGCAAAATTTTGGAATCCATTTTTTTTAGTGTTTCTGAAAACAAAAGAACGCGTTTCGCCACAGTGCCATGCTCATTGTTTACAGAATCTGTGCTTTTACGAGCACGGTTTCCGGTCCAGCGTTTTTTTTTTTAAATTATATCCACTCACAACGTTGCGCTGGATGGCAGTTGATGGCAGTCTTGGAGACGGAAGATCCTGAGCAATATTCCCTCAGCTTAGCTGGAATTGTCCTGCAATTAATTAGATTCTTCGGTGGATTGCAGATGATTGCAGTGCACAAAAAAGTACCATTTTTTCAAGCCGTTCTGGAAGGTTGTGACATCCTATCACATGCGGTGACACTTGCTGGTTGGCGATTCTAAATTCATGCACTCAATTGCACTCATGTATTTTTATTTTGGATTCTAGTTCGGATGATGATCCCAATTGACAAGTTTTTGGACTGCAGCCCTAGTCCTCTCGTGACACCCGAAGTGTGGCGTGGACACCCGAAGTGTGGCGTGGAACACGCCATGCCCATGCCGAAGGAGGCCTCAGCATGTCTGGAAGATCAGACATCTACCATCCATTGCAGTTGGCTATAGTACATTTATTATACGTAGATTATATAATGATTATAAGTAATTATTAAAGGGCTACGCCCTCTGCCGCCGACCCCTGGACACTGGAGGGTCATGCCTGCCTCTGTGTCGTAAGCATGAAATGAACTCTAAAGAAACCAGAAACTGACTTAAACAAACCATTTGTATGAAAGTTGAAATCAAAGAACCTACAAGAAAACTAGCTGTCTGAGCTGTCTTCCTGCCGCCAAAAGCCTCACAAACGGTGCCTTCACCACACCAAAACAGCAGGGCCCTGAGGGACGGACCGGGCCTGCGGGCCACGGCTCTCACTGCCTAACGTTGCTTTCGGAACCTACAAGAAAACTAGCTCTCTGAGCTGTCTTCCAGGCGCCTGCCTAACGTTGCTTTCTGAATCGACAAGAAAACTAGCTCTCTGACCTGTCTTCCAGCCGCTTGTTGCTTCCTGGCTTCTTGTTTCTTGCTTCTTGCCGCTTGTTGCCTGTAATTGCTTCTTGCTTCTTGCTTCTTCTTTCTTGTGTTCTTGCTTCTTGCCCTTGCTGCTTGTAATGACTTCTTGGCCCTTGCTGCTGGTAATTCCTCCCCTGACGCGCTCCCCCTGCTGCAAGCGGGGTCGGCGGATAATTGATATAGTATAATATAATATATAATATAATAGAATATAATATAATATAAGTTACGGCGCAATCACTCGAAACAAAAGTTGGACTTCGAATTGAACCGCTGCAGTATGTTCATTGACAGAATGGCCCAAGACAAACAAGACTTCCACCCAAAATCGTGAACTTTGGCAGCAATGCAAAGCTGGTAGGATTGGTAGAACAGGTTAGTTAGAATCTCAACCATTTTCAGCATCAAGCAAACAGCAACCGCATGCTTCATCCACTGCAAAGGTATACCGACGATACACTCAGACAGTATGGTCAGTCATTCTGAACAGTTCTACTGTAGTGCCTCCGACGGGCGCTTTCTCAAGGAAATCTCCTGGAAAGCGCCCGGCAGGTCGCCAAAGGACACGCTGCTGGGCCGCCAAGGGCGCCGGGACACGTTTCGGTGCAACCTAGTGCCGAACGTTGCTTTCTGAAACCAGAAGAAAATCTCCAGGAAAGCGCCCGGCAGGTGGCCAAAAGACACGCTGCTGGGCCGCCAAGGGCGCCGGGACACGTTTCGGTGCAGCCTAGTCCTAACGTTGCTTTCTGAAACCAGAAGAAAGTCTCCTGGAAAGCGCCCGGCAGGTCGCCAAAGGACACGCTGCTGGGCCGCCAAGGGCGCCGGGACACGTTTTGGTGCAACCTAGTGCCTAACGTTGCTTTCTGAAACCAGAAGAAAATCTCCAGGAAAGCGCCCGGCAGGTGGCCAAAAGACACGCTGCTGGGCCGCCAAGGGCCCCGGGACACGTTTCGGTGCAACCTAGTGCCTAACGTTGCTTTCTGAAACCAGAAGAAAATCTCCTGAAAAGCGCCCGGCAGGTGGCCAAAAGACACGCTGCTGGGCCGCCAAGGGCGCCGGGACACGTTTCGGTGCAACCTAGTGCCTAACGTTGCTTTCTGAAACCAGAAGAAAATCTCCCGGAAAGCGCCCGGCAGGTGGCCAAAAGACACGCTGCTGGGCCGCCAAGGGCGCCGGGACACGTTTCGGTGCCACGTTTCGGTGCAGCCTAGTGCCTAACGTTGCTTTCTGAAACCAGAAGAAAATCTCCAGGAAAGCGCCCGGCAGGTGGCCAAAGACACGCTGCTGGGCCGCCAAGGGCGCCGGGACACGTTTCGGTGCAACCTAGTGCCTAACGTTGCTTTCTGAAACCAGAAGAAAATCTCCCGGAAAGCTCCCGGCAGGTGGCCAAAAGACACGCTGCTGGGCCGCCAAGGGCGCCGGGACACGTTTCGGTGCACGTTTCGGTGCAACCTAGTGCCTAACGTTGCTTTCTGAAACCAGAAGAAAATCTCCAGGACAGCGATCGGCAGGTGGCCAAAAGACACACTGCTGGGCCGCCAAGGGCCCCGGGACACGTTTCGGTGCAACCTAGTGCCTAACGTTGCTTTCTGAAACCAGAAGAAAATCTCCAGGAAAGCGCCCGGCAGGTGGCCAAAAGACACGCTGCTGGGCCGCCAAGGGCGCCGGGACACGTTTCGGTGCAACCTAGTGCCTAACGTTGCTTTCTGAAACCAGAAGAAAATCTCCAGGACAGCGATCGGCAGGTGGCCAAAAGACACGCTGCTGGGCCGCCAAGGGCGCCGGGACACGTTTCGGTGCAGCCTAGTGCCTAACGTTGCTTTCTGAAACCAGAAGAAAATCTCCAGGACAGCGATCGGCAGGTGGCCAAAGAAACGCTGCTGGGCCGCCAAGACCCCGGCTGACACCGCCAAGGGCCCCGGGACACGTTTCGGTGCAACCTAGTGCCTAACGTTGCTTTCTGAAACCAGAAGAAAATCTCCAGGAAAGCGCCCGGCAGGCGGCCAAAAGACACGCTGCTGGGCCGCCAAGGGCGCCGGGACATGTTTCGGTGCAACCTAGTGCCTAACGTTGCTTTCTGAAACCAGAAGAAAATATAGAAAATCTCCAGGACAGCGATCGGCAGGTGGCCAAAAGACACGCTGCTGGGCCGCCAAGGGCGCCCGGACACGTTTCGGTGCAGCCTAGTGCCTAACGTTGCTTTCTGAAACCAGAAGAAAATCTCCAGGAAAGCGCCCGGCAGGTCGCCAAAGAACACGCTGCTGGGCCGCCAAGGGCGCCGGGACACGTTTCGGTGCAACCTAGTGCCTAACGTTGCTTTCTGAAACCAGAAGCAAATCTCCAGGAAAGCGCCCGGCAGGTGGCCAAGGGCGCGGGGAGACGTTTAGGGGCAGCCTAGTGCCTAACGTTGCTTTCTGAAACCAGAAGAAAATCTCCAGGAAAGCGCCCGGCAGGTGGCCAAGGGCGCCAAGGGCGCGGGGAGACGTTTAGGGGCAGCCTAGTGCCTAACGTTGCTTTCTGAAACC